AAGAGGGAAGCAGGGAGGTGGAGAATTCCAGGCAAAAAACAAATAAAAGGGCAGCAGAGAGAAGAGGGGACTTCCTAAGTGGTTCGGTGGGTAAAGAATCTGCCTGCAATGCAGAAGATATGAGTTCGATGCCTGGGTCAGGAAGATTCCCCTGGAGGAAGGCACGGCAACCTACTCCATCCAGTATTCTTGCTTGGAGAGTCTCATGGACAGAGAAGCCTAGCAACGAGCTGAAGTCCGTGGGGTAGCAAAGAATCTTATAGAACTGAAGCGACTTAGCACTCACACATAGAGAAGCATGACAACCTCAGGAAATCACTCGTACGTCTCTCTGATTCTCCAAATAACTGAGGCAGTGAGATTCTGAACAGTTGGCCACAATTGCAGATTTGGGGCTGGGGGCTTAGTTTGCCAGGTTTCCAGTGCAGAACTGTTTCCACTCTTATCCTGTCTGTACACAGAGACTATTGTTGAACATGACAATGATAAGTTACATTCACCTGTCAAAATACCCTGCAGATGTGTTTTATTTTTTAATTATAACCACACTTGACCAACTAAGAGTAACATAGCATCAGTTACCATCAGAAATCAGTGTTATAACAATAAAAAATAATACATGGCTCACAAATCAAGTTGGTTATTTGTATTCAGAATGTCAAAATAAATGCCAGCTAAGTGTATGGCCAAGTTCATATGTTTATTAAATGTCTTCATAGACACAGAAAACTAAAAACTTGAGTAGTTCTGTTCTTCTCATTGAAGCTCTAAAACATATTTTACTATTTATATTAAACATTTTTCGTTTTAATCCATGAAGGTTTGAATTATCCAGATACTATTTTTATGCTCTATAAAATAGCAGAATATTGATTCATAAATTTTCTCTATACCAAACGGTTATGATTTTTAAGTTTTCAGCTAGAAATTGTATAGTTGCCATAAATAGTATCAATATTTATAGTAATATTGAGTTTTTTGCTCATTTAATTACTATTAGTTAACATTTGTGCCTAAAGCTTTATTCTAATTTATTATTTTTCATTAAAGTGTTCATATTTTCTTGGGAAAGTATTTTACCAAAAATCATTATTATCTGTTACTATGAGTTTATTTTGTTCTTCAGAGTGATAATATAATGTGAAAGGAGAATCTTTCCATTCTGAGGAAAATCTAATGTTTCTAACAGAAACACATTTGTTTCAGTTTATATAGCATATAGTTTTTAGCACCTGTCTAGCTTCTTTGAAGTTTAAATCATACAGTTCATATTGTGTTATTTGAATTGTTCACAAGCCATTTTCTTTTATCTGAATACAAAAAGGGAAATTGTTTGAAATTGGTAATATATCATCTTTTCCGTTTTGCAGATAACCTGCCCTCTGTATGTATGTGTGTGCGCGCGCACACACACACACACGTATAAACACACACACGTATAAACACACACACACACACACGTATACACACACACACACACACACACACACACACACACACACACACATTTGGTATCATATGGCTCCATCTAGTGGCTGCATGTGAAACTTATTTGTTAAATTTGTAGAATTGATTAGAACAAGTATTAATAGAACTTGGAAACTGTTCAAATTGGGATAAGTGCAACAAAATTGATGTGAAATAAAATAAAGATTATTTTCCATAATAATATTTTCACATATAAAAATTCTATAAATATTTTAGGAAATTAAATTACGTTAAAATCTTAAGAAGTATAAAACTGTTGTGTTTTTAAAGAAAAAAAATTTTTGGGTGCCTATTATGTGTTAAACATTCACCCAGGCCATATTAGAAAAATAAGTTCTGTTTAGGACAGTTTTACAAAATGACCTTTATAGTTTATTATTGTTTATTGAAGTATAGTTGATTTATACACATGTATATGTTCTTATTCAGACTCTTTTCCATTATGAGATATTACAAAATACTGATTATAGTTCCCTGTGTTATACAGTAGATCCTTGCTGTTTATTTTGAATATAGTAATGTGTGTCTGTTAACCCCACATTTATCCCATATTCCCAATTTATCCCACACCTCTTTCCCCTTTGGTAACTACAAATTTGTTTTCTATGTCTGTGGGTCTATTTCTGTGTATAAATAAGTTCATTTGTATCATTTTATTTTTAGGTTCCACATATAAATGGTATCATATGATATTTATCGGTGTCCAACTTATTTCACTTTGTATGAAAATCTCTTAAGTTCATCCAGGTGAAATGGCCTTTATATTTTATGTGGAAGCTATAACCAAGTACAATAGTTTTTTTAAAATTTCAGAAAAACCCTTGCTCTGGTGGCTCAGCTTTTTTATGGGTCAACTCATTCATTTATTCCATAGAGGTGATGATCCCCAAAGCCTTTTAATGAATTCAGCATGACCCTCTTTTATCTGTGTGTGCAGGAATCCCATGGTTCATATCTCTAACCACTGAACGCATTTTATCTCAAAATATTCTTTTTCCACATATGGATATGAAAATTCTAGTGAAGATAACACTGACTGAATCTGATACAAATTATGTTCTTCTTCCCACCCTTTCTAGTTCCAAAGAACTTGCTTACACATGAGTTCTGATATAATTCTTTTCTACCAAATTATATTTCTTAAGTCCAGATACAAAGCATCTTTATTTTTTAGCTTTTGTTATTTTTCTTATTATACTTCTCACTTAGCATACATTGAATATATGGGATTAATTTAGAAAATAATGCTCATCTTTAAGTTTGTTGTCTTGAAAATTTTCAAATACAAAGAAAAATTGAGAGAGGAGTAAAAATTTATACCATTTACCTTGATTCACCAACTGTTAATATTCTACCACATTTACTCTGTCTCTCCTGTCTCTCTCTTTCTCTTATGTAATATAATATAATATAACATAATATTATATATGTATATAGTTTAAAAGTGAATTCCTTTGTGGGAAACCTGAATTTTATTTGATTGTGTCCTAATATAATTTTAAAATATCCATAGGGGACTTTGTGAACCAAACAAACAAAACCATTTATGGCTTTACTCACGTTTTTATGAATGAAAACTAGTTTGCTATAACATTTATAAAAACTTATTTTTCTTATAAGTTTTAAAATTCAACTTATATATCAGTTTTCTTTTTCTAAATCTAGTATGATAAAAGCAAGATTCTTTACATTTAAAAAAATTTAATTTTTTGGCCATGCCTCACAGCCTGTGGGATCTTAGTTTCCCAAACAAGGATCAAACCCTCACCCCGTGCTTTGGAAACAGAGTCATAACCCTGGACAGCCATGGAGTCCCCGCATCTTTATTTTTAAACTTCCTTGCAGTGTGTCCTATTTGCAACTCAGCTGATTACTTTCTCAAATTTGAAACCATAGAAATATATTTATCCTGTTCAAATTTTTTAAAGTTTTAAAGGCCTTAATTTAGAGAAAACTCTTTATACATATTGAACCAATTTTAAATATAGCAAATAAAGTTTATAAATATGACACTCAGTTTTTCTTAAATTCTGTGAAAACTTGGTCACTTTTTTATACCTGTAGCTTTAATAGTTCTAACTCTAAAATGAGTATACAACTAACTTTATTAAATTGGAAATACGATTAATTTGAATTATCTTAAACTTAAAAACACTTTAAATAGCATGTGGACACATTCCAAATTTAACAGAAAAACACTCATACTTTGAGTTTAGTATATTTATCATCTCTATATTTTAAAACCTGAGCAGTTACATGATGCTCATGAAGGAAGTAATTTTATCACCCTAAATGGAGGTTGTTGTCTCCAGTGGTCTGTTGCTATCATTTCATGGCCAGAGATTTTTGCCCAAGACAACATTCGAGCTGCATATGCCCATGACAATCCTTCTGGCCTCAGTTGAAGGGCACAATCATTACCTTCTGTTGTCAATTTGACAAAAGAGGACTTCACATCCCTGTGCTTGAGAGGTTTTGATCTTTGTGGAAGCCTAGTTTTATCTTTTTTTTTCCCTGTTAATTTATTTTTCTCTATTGCTATTTTAAATGTAAAGCTATTTTAAGCTATTTAAAGCTATTTTAATGTCTTTTTTTCAGGCTTGTCCCAAAGACATACAGTCATTTCTTGAGATCCTGCATATATTTGTGTATTCCTTGGCCCGATTTAAGTCTGTGACCTTCACCACATGTTACAGCTAGCTTTATTCATTCTGTTTTTTATCATTTCTATCTAAACAAGCCACACACTTACAAATTAAATGACAACTAATTAAATTGTATACTACTTTGTCGGACTTAGTGGTTCCTGCTCTAAAGTCATGTTAGTGGAGGCAGTTTCTTACTATAAGAAGCATTTGAATTAACTGAGTCACACATAATACCAACACTAATACCCTGATGATATGAAAATTGAAAGAAGTTTATTAAAATACCATAAAGTCAGCCTATTTATCAACTGATCATATAGGTCTTAGCATATGCCCCTGCTCTTCTAAATGCTTTACTCTTAACAACAATTTTGGATGCTGTTCCTATTTGTAAATGTGGAAACTGAGGCAAAGATGTTAAGCAACTTGTCCAGGGTCACACACCTAGTAAGTGGTAGTGTCATGATTCAAACCCTGGCTGTCTGACTGCACCATTCCTGCTCTGTACTGTAGCGCTGATTTTCTAAGGCCATATACATGGTAAAGCTGGATATGTTGATTGCAGTTGTGGTTTTATACATTGTCATCGGGCTTCCCTGGTAGCTCAGCTGGTAAAGAATCCACCTGCAAAGCGGGAGATCTGGGTTCAATCCCTGGGTTGGGAAGATCCTCTGGGGGAGGGATTGGCAACCCATTCCAGTATTCTTGCCTAGAGAATCCCCATGGACGGAGAAGCCTGGCAGACTACAGTCCATGGGGTCTCAAAGAGTCAGACACGACTGATTGACTAAGCACGGGACAGCATAGCATGTTGTCATCAGACCCAGAGACACTCACTGCTCTTTAACTGATGTTTTCATGCAGGTAGCGAATTGTTTACCGGACTCTATAGTGACTATTGGGGCAGAGATGCTGCCATCTTCAGGAGCCTGGGCCGACTGGCTCAGATCCGCACTGAGCATGATGATGAGCGCCTGTTGAAAGGTGGGGTCGAGAAGAAAAGTTTATGACTCAGAACTGAGAAGCAAGTCCAGAGCGGATGGGAAACTTGACATTTTGATAATGATAACAATACAAATGTAATTTATAGGTTTTGCAAATTTCTGCATTTTTTCTTAGCAATATTCTCAGATTAAAGTATTATATGATATATGCATATCATTTTATATAAAAATTGATCAGCTTTGTGATAAAACCAAATTACTCTGAGCAATACTTAGAAATCAGGATTTTAATGAACAAAGCAAATGTATGCAGAATGAAAACTCCTTTCATCCAATAAGTTGTTGTCTCTTGTCAGTTGGTATAATTTTGCATGAATTGATTGCTTTTCTTTGCTTGTTTAACAGAATCACATTGTACTTTAGAGACACATAAAATTCTAGGAACATCACTAGGCATTCATTTACATAGGATTCTTTGTAAGAAGTCATGTTTATATTTTGGCACATTGGTATATCTAAGAACTGAAATCATTTTATAGTGAGTAGTTTCATTATTTTCAACCTTTTTATTAAGCTTTAGAGTGCATAGTCATTATTGCCAGCATTTTGTCATTAAAACATTTGACATTCTGTTCAGTCAAAAGTCATTCACTCAGATCCATTCGATTAGAAATACAAAAACTTAGAGTGAATTTTCTACCTTAAAATTAAAATGATCTTCCCTGGGCTGGACTAGTAGACAATTTATGAGTTAAAAAAAAAGTAATGATAGACTTCTTTACTGAAATAGTTTTCATATATTTATATTGACTTTATATGGATAGAGAGACAGACAGGAAATTTGTGCAGAGTATCATCATGTTGCTCTTAACCTATTCTTTTTTGAATTCGTCTCTAGTGTATGTTGTTTGAAATCAGATTATTTTCCTCCTTGACTCAGTTAAATTTTAAATCCTCTTAACACTTCCGTAAAACTGTTGATTTGCAAAGAACATGGAGATATCTACATGATATTAAAATTTAGTACAAAATGTCAAGGAAATATTTTAAGTTTGTTGTAATAACTATTACATTTTCTTCTATTTTTTTACTTATCTAGAACCAAAATTTGTAGGTTCTTATATGATCCCTGACAATGAAGACCGAGATGACAACAAAGTGTATTTCTTTTTCACGGAGAAAGCCCTGGAGGCAGAAAACAGTGCCCATGCAATTTATACCAGAGTGGGGCGACTCTGTGTGGTGAGGACTGTTTTCCTCTCTCACTAAGCTTGCTTATCTCACAATTTAATGTCAGGCCTTTGCTCATTTTATAATAGGTTTCTACTTTAAAATGTTTTATAGTATTCTCTTAGGCTCCTTAAAATTGGTATTTAGTGTCTAATCTTTAGACTTCATGTCAACTAAAGTTTAATCTGAAAAGAACTTTGCATTTTGTGTTATCTTCCCCATTTTCAAAGCCCTATTAAGAAGAAATGGTTTATAATTAAGCTATACTTCTTCCCATACAGAAGTTTAAGCTCCATTTTAAAAAGTTAATTTCACCAAAATCTTTCTAGTTTCTGTAATCCACATTCTAAATAATTTACATAATTACGTTTCAACAATTCAGATGGTTGATTCTGTAGGGAAAAACATCTATACTTTGTTGGAATTCAGATAGATGATTTAGTGAATATTCAAAACCAACTGAAGTAGCCTTATATATTGAGAGAAACCTAATAGTATTATAAATGAGAAGTTATTTTGATATTTAAAAAGATACTCAATAAATTTAAGATATTCATATGTACATGTATGGATGTACACACACATATACACATGTATGTATTTTGTATATGTGTACAAATATATATGCTTGTTGTGTGTATGTATGCATGTGTGTTTGTATCATAAGTCTTTTTCCCTAAAAGAAGAAAAAGAGATGTGTCTGTATTTCTGAGATAAGCAGATTATTTATCAATAAAGTAATAATAAAAGCTACTGTATCATAAAAGTTACTATTTATTTGGGGGCACCTACTCAACTAATATTATTGCATACCTGGAAACTGTGTTTACTGGGCCATTGTGAAAGCACGCTGACAAGGCAGCATGTGTAAACCTGAAAAAAAGGAAAAGTTTTATGAGGAATTTCATCTTTAATATTATTTGAGGAGTAGACCAAAATTTCTACTTAAGTAAAAAAGGTGTAACTCTTGCTGTCTTCATGTTTAATAATACAAAATCCATGTTGGTAAACGTCCTCTGGGTCCCCATTGACCTGATTTTTGTTTTTCACAGAATGATATGGGAGGACAGAGAATCCTGGTGAATAAGTGGAGCACTTTCCTGAAAGCTCGACTGGTTTGCTCAGTACCGGGCATGAATGGGATTGATACATATTTTGATGAATTAGGTAAATATTATTAGGAGAGTTAAATCTTCCTCTTTGATATATGTGCTTCTTTGTATAACCCTCACTGTTTTTAGCATGCATAGAAAACTTGCTTTCCACTGTCATTGACTTCTAACTTAGAGCAAGTTTTTATTCTCATCTCAGCTGGGTCTACAAGTTGGGCCAAAGGAGTTGCAAAAGCAAAAAGACCCCTCCTTTTAGTTTAGAGTCAGCACCTCCGGCTCCTTCCTTCAGGCCCAGCTCAAAGTCATCCTCAACAGTTCATCCATCTCACTGTGCTGTGACTTGGTCATGGTTGCTTAACTGTATATGGAAATCTGTATCATATTATATATAATATGTATATCATATACATATCATATCGTGCATATATCATATTATATATAATATATCATCTTATATAATATATGTATCATCTTATATATAAGATATATCTTAAAATATATCATGGGTTCTAAACTACTTTATGTCACTGTATTTTCTTCACATGTCTTGAGGGCTAAACATATTAAGTTAATGTGATGATCTTTAATGTTTCAGAGGATGTGTTCTTGCTGCATACCAGAGATCATAAGAACCCAGTGATATTTGGACTCTTCAACACTACCAGGTAAGAAATTTATATGGTTAGTCAAAGTGTCATGAAACAAGAGATGCCTCATCCCTTCACAGTGGATGTAATTGAAAATCCTGTTCAATCTGTTATTCTCACTTTCTATACTTTATAAGTCACCAATTTCTCTTCATTCTTCTGTATTTGCAGTTGTACTTTTTAAAACCACAATCTCAATCCAAATCCTTATTTCTTTTGGTTTAAAGTACTAGCATCCTCCTCTGCTCAATATCCTAAGCTCTTCACCCCCGATCTACAACAGAATGACATTTTTTTTTTCTATACAGTTTTTTGTTTGTTTGCTTGTTTTAAGGTACTAGTTCCATGCTGTAAAGTCTAGGATCATTCTTTCAGTTATCATATACAGTTATCTGGGTCAGGCTTTCAAGTCTTTCTATCCACTATTTCCCACTTAAGATTGGAAGTTTTTCCTCTAACTTCCCTCAAACTCTGCTTTTGACAAGATAATAACCTGTCAGAATCCCAATGTCTGGTTTGCCCGTCACTATGATTTGCTTTATCTACTTTCTCTTCCAGTACTTGTCAGTTACCATCTTCATGAAACACTCCTTGATTCCTTAATCACAAAGCATTTGCTCACTTCCTGTCCTCTGGTTGTCCTGCCCCTGTGTGGATTCTTAGAGAACACACGTTTCTGATTTGCCCTCCATGTTTTAAATTTAAATAAACTACTCAAGTTTAGGACTCATGATCTGATATTTTTATGTTTTTGTGTTATGTATCCATTGAAGAGTGCTGGAAAAATGAATCAAAGATCATTTCATGTGTCTGATACGTGAATGAAAATATGTTATTAGAACCAGTTTGAGTGAAAGTTTATATATATAATTCCCTGCATGTCTTTCCAAATAAATCAGAGTGGAGATGAGATGGTTAAAATGAGAAATAAAGAATATACTTCAATTCTCTTGATGGGGATAGAAAAATATTACTCAGTTCCTTGTTTGTTTTGCACTGGCCTTAAACGTTTATGTTGTCGTGTGTACTTTATTTGCTTAGGATCTCTCCATAAAATTTTGTTTATTAATTTTTATTGGTATATAATTGCTTTACAATACTTTTTAAGTTTCTACTGTCTAGCAAGGGTTTCCCAGGTGGCTCACTAGTTTATAAAAGTCCACCTGCCAATGCGGGTTATGTGGGTTCTATCCCTGAATTAGGAAGATCCCCTGGAGAAGGAAATGGCAACCCACTCCAGTATTCTTGTCTGGGAAATCCCATAGACAATGGAGCCTGGGGTCACAAAAGAGTTGGACACATCTTAGCAACTAAACTATAACAACTGTACAGCAAAGTGAATTACTTATATGTATACATAGATCCCCCTTTTTAAAATTTCTTTCCCATTTCGATCACCACAGAGCACGGTATGGAGTTTCCTGTGCTGTACAAGTCTGTTTTCATCTCTATTTTGTATTTAGATAACATTATATGCCAATCTCAGCTTCCCAGCTCATCTCCCCTGTCCCCCCACCTTGGTGTTGCATTAAGTTTTTGTCTAGTTTTTCAGCAGGTAATTTCTTATTCTCACTTTGAAAAAAATAATAAAACTCTTTAGATAAGCATCCTGCTGTCCTAAGGGGACCTTTTCTTTAGCACAGAAACATAGAGACAATTTTGCTATCAATTATTCCTTGATGCAAGAAGTAGTAGTTAATGTAGATTGATAATTATCACAGTCTATGGAAAGTCCCTAACTTTTTTTTTACACTTCATCTTCTTTCTTATGCCAGTGAAGAATTTGTACATTGCATGATAATTCCATGGCATTATATGATAAATGTAAGCTATAGAATAGTCATTTTTTTAATGAGTTATAGATTTTTTAATGAGTTAGAATGATCAGCTTATAAGCTGTTTTCATAAATGATAGCATAATTGATCTGTCTGAGTTTTCAAAAACAGAAATTATTTTCCTCCATAATTTCAATTTTGGCTGTTCAATATATGCATAATTTTGAGGAAAGGCTTCCCAGGTGTTATCTGACATAAAGGTTGATATCATAGCATAGTGATCAAAGGTTTACTGCCACGTTAGCTGGAAGACTATCTCTGGTTTTCTCACTGTTGCAGTCATTTCCAATTGCTTCAAGGTGCGTTATAAAATGTGTGAACTGATGTCCTTAGACAGTAACATAACTGCTGTTCTACAGGTGTCTCATAATGTAGGAAATGTTATACTTTTAAAAAACTTTGCATTTTGCAGAGCACTTTCACAATCTAATTATTTTAATTCTTACAATAAGGAGGCTAGGGAAGTGTTAGACTTCATTCAGATTATGCCAAATTAAGAAATGTGGCTAATCTTTAAAACAAATAATTTTAAAATGTTCTTTCACAGAATCTTATTTTAAATACTCACAATAAAAGTTGCTGGAGCTTTATTTTATAAAGAAAGCTCAAATGCTGTCTTTATCCAAGATAAGTAGAAATTTTTATCAAGAAAATAATTTCAACTTCTTCTAGTTCTTTAGGTAAGGAAGCTGAGTTTTGCATAATTTAAGTCTTTTTCTCAAAATTAATCTGGTGCAGCCCAGTCATCTTGCCACTGTAGCACTGTTTTCAGTGACCTGGAGGGAGTAATACACAGTAAACCAATCAATGTTTGTATGACAGCCAAGCTCAAGAATGGAACAAAGCCCCTAATTCTCTTTAGACTTTAATTTATTCTTCAAATCATATACACTAATTTGAAAATTTGAATAAAATTTACAACAATATTAACAGCTTGGCAAGAAGAAAAACACAGTATACCTGAAAGAGATGCAAGAAGATAAAACCTTCCTCAACTTGGAAATGAATCTTTAAAAATATTAAGATGAAATCTTCCTTAATAAGACATGTAAAACACAAAAGAATATATTTACATATATTTGTGTGTGTGTGTGTAGTTCACCTGAAACTAACACAGCATTGTAAATCAATTATAGTTCAATTAAAATTTTAAGATTCAACTGGAAAAAAAAATGACATGACTGCTTTTGTGATTCTAACAATGTCATTTTTAATTTGCTCTAATAAATAGGCAAAAAACAGTAAGTTTGGAGTTTGAATACTTGGAGTATTGTAGTAGATAATATCTCTAGCCTTATACCTAAGAGATTGCAACTCTTCCACCCAAAAGACTTCCTCCTTATCTAGGGTGTCTGTAGGGTTTGACTAGATGACCTCCTAGTCTATTCCAGAATAGTAATTATCTTTTTTTTCCCCAGTAATATTTTTAGAGGCCATGCTATATGTGTTTATCACATGTCTAGCATCCGGGCAGCCTTTAATGGACCATATGCACATAAGGAAGGACCTGAATACCACTGGTCGCTCTATGAAGGAAAAGTACCTTATCCAAGACCTGGATCTGTAAGTTTAGGCATTTAGCAAAGCATTATTATTTTTGAAAGGCTTTTTTAGTAATATTCTGTTCATTGTTCAGATGCTTTATTAAATTTGCATGAAACAGTTAAGAAATTCTACAACTAAAAATATGCTTGGTTACTTGCATGGTAAAGAAATATTACTTCTTACATCTAGATGTATGCTTGTTATTTAATGAAAAGAATGTAATCTAAAATGGATACATCTTAGCATTATAAAATATATATTATTTTTAATATTTTGTCTATCTATGTGACTCTAACTAAATTTTTATTTTTAGAGGTACTGGTGAATACAGAAATATCAACAAAATGAGCATCATATTCCTCTCAGCCTCTTTAGAATTAGTGCCCCCAAGTGGTTTCCAAGCAAGAGAATGTTACCATATTGTTATTATATATTCTGATAATTGGGTCAGGCTCTCAGTTCCCTAGATCAGACTTTATCCCAGCTTCTCACTTAAGCATATTGAGAGGAAGTTTTTTCTCTGGCTCTTAGAATACTGAGCAACCCATTTGCCAAGAGGAAGTTCCACCATTTGCCTCTTAACTGGTGCTACCAAGATTCTCCCTAACTAGCCATTCAAACTGTGCTTTATATTGCACACATGATGATAATAAATGATGAGAAGGATTTTGTATTATGTGTCCTGTACACAATTAGGTTGCAAAAAGGTAGCAGCATTGTATCTGCTGTTCATGGCGAACAAACTTGTCATGCAAGTCAGTCTACACCATTATGAGCAGCTGGTGAAAACCCATCACTATGCTGATTCCACAAGTACTTTTAAGTCAGTAGAAATCATTTTTGCAGAGCCACAGTTCAAAGTGGAAACAAACCTTACCTCAGTTAACAAGTGTAAGGCTTTACCATTTCAATCACTCTCTCTCACTAGGTTAAAATTATTACTTCCAATAAGACATAAAGTATATTTTATTTCACTCTATTGATTGAAATTACAATTTAAATGGAGAAAACCCACTCCTGTGGCTTTGCTGGAAATGCTTCTTGAAACCACATGGTATTAAAGGAGATTTAGAGGAAGTGACTGGTTACTGAACTGCTTCCAGGCTGGTCCAGAATGTTTCCAATTATATATCATGAAAGTGCACTCACGTGAAATATTGATGCCAAATTAAGAAATATGGTCCAAAATTTTAAAACAAACCATTTAAGAAATGCCCTCTTTGCAGAATGATTAATAAAGTACTGTGTTTATACTCTAAAGTGGAAAATTTTTATCAAGGTCACCATTAAAAGTGCTTCTGGTTCTAAAAGAAAATATGTGAAATGAGGGAGCACTAAATAACAAGCATGAATCAACATACTTATAGGTATTCTAAGAAGTAGCTTAGGTACCGCTGAACATTTGTTTTTAGATTCGGTGATTTTAAGAATTGAGACGTGTTATAGTGGGTATTTCTGTTTTTTTCATATTATTGTGTCTGATTCATACAAATATAATATAAATTCATACAAATTACACTAGAACAGAGGAGGTTTTTTTCCCCACCTTAATTAACAATGATGGAATTTGAAGAGGTTTCTGTTATAGCACTAAAATTCTATAGTCAGTGAGACAATTGAAACTCTCACCAATCAGTGTCAGTAATGGGAAAGCTGTTGTGTGGTTGTAATTCTTAATTTGGGGGAAAGATTTAGTGCAATAACAAGTCACCTGGTTTTGCTATGAACAGTACATTGTTCATAAATTCATAAAATTTAATTTGCAACATGAAAAATAAATTTTAGAAGCAGGAAAATAATTAAAATATTTTAATATTATGCTTGTACTATCTCCAAACAATATATACTTTGTTTCTTTTTCAGGATTTCATTGCTGTATATGTCTAGTGCCACATTTTTTAAATAATTCAACCCCACTATGCAATTTTTAATTCAGATTTTATTTCTGTAGTAAAGAACATGTGGTTGCTAAATATTGCTAAGTACATAGTTGATTAACTGAACATACTGTTTTTGTAATTCTCCTTCTAATTGACTTTAGATTTCACGGGAAAATACCCTCTGACCCATTTGTATTCCAGTGTGCCAGCAAGGTGAACGGAGGGAGGTATGAGACCACCAAAGACTATCCCGATGATGCCATCCGATTTGCTCGAAGCCATCCACTTATGTACCAGCCCATAAGACCTGCCCATAAAAAGCCAATACTAGTGAAAACAGATGGAAAGTATAACCTGAAGCAAATAGCGGTGGATCGAGTAGAAGCTGAGGATGGCCAATATGATGTCTTGTTCATTGGGACAGGTAATGAAATTAGAAAGTACTCAGACATTTAGATTGAACCTTGAAATCAATCACATTACATTAAAAATCCCTGCCTGTCAACAAAACCTCTGTTGACCCTTTTGGCTTTCTTGCATACTGTCTGTCCACTGCAATGGAAGAGAAGAATTTGGGGCAGTTACAGCCTGTAATTCCTGATACATGGTCAATATTTAATACGTTTGAACAAAATGCATACATTAAGGAATGAATAATTGATGTCAATAAACAATGTTGGTTCCAGAAAAGAACTCAGAGCAGAAGTAGGGTGCCATAGCAAGGATGGTTCTCTTCTGTTAGGCCCTCGGGGCCACTGCTTCCCTCGGCTTCTCAGTAAGGGCTCAAGATTTTTCAATCTTTAGGTAGAGTTTAGGTAATTTCACCTAAATCTATTATCTCAACTGTGCTTATCAAGCCCCATCAGAAGTCAATCATGTGAAATGAAACAATCTAAATGTTATACATTAAAGTGAAAGAAAGTGAAAGTCGCTCAGTCGTGTCTGACTCTTTGCGACCCGTGAATTATACAGTCCATTGGATTCTCCGGGCCAGAATACTGGAGTGGGTAGCCTTTCCCTTCTCCAGGGGCTTCTCCCCACCCAAGGATCGAACCCACGTCTCCTGCATTGCAGGCAGTTTCTTTACCAGCTGAGCCACAGGGAAGCCCGATGTTATACATAATGGAGATAAAATTTTAGACTAAAGCTATAATATCCTGCATTATTAAAATAAAGTATAATAAATGTGCTAAAAGTCGAAATGTAAAATAGATCTGTAATTTCAATTAGTGCCATTCATTAGATCTAGCTTATGGAGGAGAACTTGGAATTGTTTAGCATGCAGGGTAATATGTATCAAATTCTGTCAAATAGTTTGAAATTATATAGTCATTTAAAGAATCATTAAAATGATCATTTCTTTTTTATATATATGCATTATAGTAATTGCTATAGCAAATCCTATTTAGAAGAGTAAGCATTCTACTATATATAACTTTAATCATTGACATATTCTAAAGAGACATTACATATGCCCAGATCAGGAATTAGTATATAGTATTAATATTGGTGCTTGAACTCTCCCACTCATGCTTTTTGAAAAAGCAGAGGTACAAGTAAGGAGGTAATTGTCTGATTTCCAAAAATTGATGTCTCTTGCAGGCTATATTTTATTCATTTAAGAGATTAGTAATATGTTCTACTGGAGAAGGAAATGGCAAACCTCTCCAGTATTCTTGCCTGGAGAATCCCATGGACAGAGGAGCCTGGCAGGCTGCAGTCCATGGGGTCACAAAGAATCAGATATGACTGAAATGACTAGGCAATATGTTCTGCACTGTGGGTTCAAGATTAACAAAGCATCACATTTCTTTAACAAAATTAAAATTACCTGGCCATGAATTCACTTATTGTTGTATCCAACAAAGTTAAAAAAAAAGAATTTCATAAGCAAGAGTAATATTTGATAAAATTAATCAGAAAAAAGCATGTTACTTTTAACCACCGTGGAAAGTAGAAGTCATGTATATAAATCCAAGAATGTTTTCAGAAATACTTTTTTGTTAGATTGACCAAAGCTATTTGAGAGAATTCCAGAAATATATAAGGTTATACTTAGGCTCTCATGTAACCTATGTTGAGCTTAAAGATATCATTATATTGAACCACAACTTTTCAGCACTAAAGAACATATTTGATGAATGTGTGATGAGTAAAACTTTGAATAATCCCACAAAAGAGTTATTTTCTCCCAAATTTACCAGACACATGCTTTAGTACTATATATAGTAGTCTTTATTGAAAAATCACTAGTTGTAAACTGATAATTTGAGTCCCTCTTTGCTTTTTTACTTGATATGATAATTGTGGGATATTTATAATGTGTGCTTGATATGATAATTTTGTTCCTTTTGGTAATTTTTATTAGTTTTATTTTAATTACATTATATTAAGCCAACCACATGATTTCATAATTTTTAAAGAAATTGCATAAGTACTATAGAAACTCCAGGATCAGAACCTCCAAAATGCTTTTCCCCCCTAGTTATTTCTAGCACTATACTAAATTGTTCTTACAGTCAAATTAGTGTTTTATTAAATTTTCATTGGAAAGAACAAGTTCAGAATATCAGGAATTATAAAAACAAGGTAGGATTTTAAAATGTAGGTATAAATTTATAAAATTATTTATAATTATATAAACTAAATGATTAGTACAGGAGGACTCATTACCCTGTTCTCTCTATAGTGTATACTTGAAATTTTTATTGAAAGTGTATATAACAAGATTTGTGCTTACTGGAGGTGAGCGGTGGGAGAACTGGATGAAGGTTGTCAAAGATACATCTTTCCAATTATGAGATAAATAAGTACTAAGAATATAATATATACCATGACTAATATAGTTAACAGTGCTGTATGTTATAATGAAGCTTTTTAAGAGAGTAAACCCTAAGAGTTCTCATCACAAGGGAAAAAATGAACTCTTTTGTATGATGGATGTTCACTAAACTTATTGTGATATTATTCTGTGATGTACGTGCTCAGCCGTGTCTGGCTCTTTGCAGTCCCATGGACTGTATAGTCCATGGAATTCTCTAGGCCAGAGTACTGGAGTGGGTAGCCTTTCCCTTCTCCAGGGGATCTTCCCAATCCAAGGATCGAACCCATTGCAGGTGGATTCTTTACCAGCTGAGCCACAAGAGAAGCCCATGATGTATGTAGGTCAAATAATTATGCTGTATACCTTAAAATTATACGGTGTTGTATGTCAATTATATCTCATTAAAATTGGGAGGAAAAATGTATATGTATAGATATAAATATATTCTATTTATATATCAATATGTCAAGATTCCCATTGTGTGTTGCTTGGAAGGGTCCCTAAGATTAAAGGTATAGTCTTACCAGGAGGTAGCTTTAGGTAAAAAATATTCTTTCATCATACATCACAGAAAAAACTAGAATAATTTTCTGTCTTCTATTTCATTAATTCCAAAAGACATCTTGATTTCTGAACCTTTAATTGAGTTTTTGAATCAAATTGTTGAAAAATAATTTTATATTATTTGGTCTTATCCTTTGACCAGATACACAAAATTGATTTTTTTTACTAATTTAAAATATGAATGTATAATTAGCCATATTGTTTTAACTGGCAATGAGTAAATGTTTTATACATCTAGATTTCAAATCTTATTTAAATTTATAATGTCTCCATGGTTTTTAATTGTTTGAAAACCACATTGTGACAAAGTTTCTGGATTATCTCTTCTTTTGTTTTCTTATAGATAATGGAATTGTGCTGAAAGTGATCACGATTTACAACCAAGAAACAGAATCAATGGAAGAAGTAATTCTAGAAGAACTTCAGATATTCAAGGTATTTTTAGTGAAACATATAGCCAACATTTATGTATTGCAGACAATTGCAAGTGAAATAAATAGAAAAAACATTACGTCAGTTTTTTTTTTTTATCCTAATCAGTATGTTGTAAATTCAGAGTACTTTAAGGTGAAGAATGATTTAAAATTCTGGTACATCTATTTGATTATCATAGACTATTCACTATTCAGATAAAAAGGCCAGTATTTACCAAGCATGAAAAGGATTTCATTATATGAACTGGGACATAAATGACACTTATCCCACAAATGAATTGCAGAATCATTATTACAATCATCATCTTAAGCAATGTACTATCAATAAAAAAAATTTTAAAAATAGCAGGTTTCATATTGTGGGCATTGTTATGTGATAAGTAGATTGCCTTTTTATCACATGCAGTTTACACAGAGAATTTGCTAAAAGAAAAATGCACAATGATAATGGAAATATTAAGCATGACAAAAGCAGTTTGTATATCGTCTCTCTTTTTTACACACACACATACACAGCCATATACACACAAAAGTCTTGCCATCTGTAGCAGTTATGGTCTTTGAACATTGAATTAATTAGGAATCGTTGCTCCTAGGGGAGATGCGCACTGCAGTCCATAGGGTCACAAAGAATCGGACACGACTGAGCGACTGAAAAACGAGGAGGAAATACAGCATTGGGTTCCTGAGAGTCTCTAGTCACAGCATTTGTCAGCTGATTGATATGGAAACTTGTTTTGTTTGTTTTTCTTTTTAGAGACACCTTATTTAGTATATTTGTTGTTTAGTTGCTCAGTTGTGTCCAACTCTTTTGCCAACCCATGGACTGTAGCCTGCTAGACTCCTCTGTCTATGAAATTTCCCAGGCAAGAATACTGGAGTGGGTTGACATTTCATCCAGAGGATCTTCTTGACCCAGGGATCTACCCATGTCTCCTGCACTGAAGGTGGATTCTTTACCACTGAGCCACCAGGACTATCCTATTGATTAATTAAAATTGAACTTACGGCTAATAGCGCTAATAACTCCTGCCTGAACAAGGCTTATTTAAAACACATATTTATTTCATAAGGCACATCACAGCATTTTTGAATTTAGGAACACAACACTTCAACATGCTTAGGGGCCTTTTAAACAGCAAATCATTAACAAAAAGGACAAAAATAAAAATGTGGTACCAAATGGAACATGAAGATATTTGTTTACAGTATGAGAGTTGAAACCAGAAGGCAGGGTATACCTTGATCAACCTCAGCTGGGAATGTACATTTTGGGCAGCTCAGATTTTCTTTTTTTTGCCATTCTGACATGAGCATGGCTGTGAATGGCAGTGAAATACCAAAAGTATTGATATTGGGGTTGCACATAAATTTTGGCAAGTAATTAAATGTACAAGATCACAATGTGCAATAATGAAGATTGTGTATCTATGTAATGAATGTGTATGAAAATATTTTTGATGAAAACAGTTTATTTCACCTTAGCTGTTCAGAAGATTAGATTCCTCATAGCTTCACACAAAGTTAACTGCGTTCTTATCTCAACCAGAGCAGCTGTTGTTGCTTAGTCGCTCAGCTGTGTCCGACTCTTGTGTGACCCCATGGACAGTAGCCCTCCAGGCTTCTCTGTCCGTGGGAGTTTCCGGGCAAGAATACTGGAGTGGATTGCCATTTCCTTCTCCAGGTTATCTTCCTGACCCAGGAATCGACCCCATGTCTTGGCATCTCCTGCCTTGCAGGTGGATTCTTTTACTGCTGAGCCAATGGAGAATCCCCAGAGCAGCTATATTTTTGTTTATTTTGCATATTGGGCCTCTATAAGATTTCATTTCATGTTAGGAATCACAGATCTCATATTAAGGGCATTCATCATAACAATGTCTTGTTCACATAAATCTTAAGAAACATTGAAACATGTATATCTAGGGTGAAGCAGATCACCAGCCCAGGTTGGATGCATGAGACAAGTGCTCGGGCCTGGTGCACTGGGAAGACCCAGAGGGATCGGGTGGAGAGGGAGGTGGGAGGGGGGACCGGGATGGGGAATACATGTAAATCCATGGCTAATTCATTTCAATGTATGACAAAAACCACTGCAATGTTGTAAAGTAATTAGCCTCCAACTAATAAAAATAAATGGAAAAAAAAAAAAGAAACATTGTTTTTTGAATGAATAAATGCATGTATGTGCTTCCCTTGTGACTCAGCAGTAGAGAAGCTGCCTGCCAATGCAGGAGACATGACTTCGATCCCTGAGTTGAGAAGACAGCCTGGAGAAGGAAATGACAGCCCACTCCAGTATTCTTGCCTGAGAAATCCCATGGACAGAGGAGCCTGGCAGGCTACAGTCTGTGGGGTTGCGAACATAGTGACTTAGTGACTAAACTTAGTGACTAAACAACGACACGTGAATAAAGTTTTCTGTAGTTTTAAATATTTAAAATTTTAATATAGATGATCAAATTTTTCTCTTTCAAAAAATAACTATTTGAAGGATAATTATCCATTAATTATCCAGGAGTGTATCCCATGTGCCTATGACTTCTCCACTTACAGAAATGACTAAGTTTGTGATGTCCTTAGAAATATTCTTGTCTTAATCACCACCCCTAGAATTGCACAGAGGCGCTCAAAACTCTCCTGTAGATTGTCCTTCCTCTGGTGCAGTTCCAGGACAGTGATGATGATAATGCACATTTTTCAGAGCATTCTGGATTAATGGAGATTGACAGAAAAATATTTTGTTGTTGTACAGTCGCTCAGTCATGTCCAACTCTTTGCCACCCCATGGACTGCAGCATGCCCGGTTTCCCTGTCCTTCACCATCTCCCAGAGTTTGCTCAAACTCGTGTCCATTGAGTTGGTGATGCCATCCAACCTTCTCATCTCTGTTGCCCCTTTTCCTCTTGCCCTCCATCTTTCCCAGCATCAGAGTCTTTTCCAGTGAGTCAGCTCTTTTGCATCAGGTGGCCAAAATATTGGGCTTTCAGCTTCAGCATCAGTCCTTCTAATGAATATTCAGTGTTGATTTCTTTAGGATTGATTGGTTTGAGCTCCTTGCAGTCCAATGGACTCCCAAGAGTCCTCTAGCACCATACTTTGAAAGCATCAATTCTTTGTATCTCCACCTTCTTTATGGTAGAACTCTCACATCTGTGAGAAAAAGCTATGGTTACAGCTTTGACTATATGGACCTCTGTTGGCAAGGTAACCTTTCTGCTTTTTAATATGCTGTCTAGGTTTGTCATAGCTTTATCATCCAAGGAGCAAGCATCTTAATGGCAGAAAGAGAAGAGGAACTAAAAAGCCTCTTGATAAGGGTGAAAGAGAAGAGTGAAAAGTTGGCTTAAAACTCAACATTCAAAAAGCTAAGAAAGATCATAGTATTTTGTTTAGGCCTGAGTTAAAACAATTAAAGATCACATGGTTTATTGGTAATAATACCTATTCAAAGATATAACTGTTTTCCTTCTAATGGTTCAATTTTCTTTATAAGAAATACCACTCTGACTTCATTATTTAAACATAACTGAGTTCCAAAACATGAGTAATACTCAAATGCAAACACAAAAATTATAATGCAGAGACAAACTGAAAGATAATTAGATTATTCACTACTTTTCTCATCTATATTTTGTCCTACTCTATTAGAAAATATTTTTTGGAAGAAATCATATTTTATTTAATTGTATTTTCCTTTTGATTTACTAAAATGAAAGCTATATACTGCTTGACAGAGAACCACACACATACCTAATATTATTTCAGTTAATTTATAACCATACTAAGGTATGTTTCTATATTTTTATTCCTAAATATGAACTTTTTTTTAAAATTTTTCAGGATCCAGTTCCTATTATTTCTATGGAGATTTCATCAAAGAGAGTAAGTTGTATAGGTGTCTCTGTGTGTGCACTCTATGTATCAGATAAGGTCAAAAGATAGAAAGCTTACATATATGTTCTTATATGTTAACAAGTTACAGCTTTATTCTGACAGAAATACATAGTGATCTACAGGTAGGTAACAGATTTCTTCATATTCTGTTTCTAGAAAAATAGACAAGAATAGAGTTACCTGTACAACCATAATAGAACATTATTCCATGGGTTTTTTTTTTTTGCTAATATTTTTGCAAAAAATCATGGTAATGATAATACAAGGGAGTGTACAATGAAAAATAAACCTCCTTTCTACTTTACTGGAACCAGTTTCTGGTGTAACTTTGAGAGTAGATGTTACATATATTGCCTCATTTATTTATAAGTAATCTTTTATGTTAAGGCAGATAGGGACATATGAGGTTATTGTTCTGCTACTTATACTTTTTACTTACTAACATATCTTACAGTTTATTCCACATCATTCTATGTATATATCTGTGTCACTTTTCTAAATGTTATATGTCAGTATGCACTGTTGGTGAATGTAAATTGGTACAGCCTCTATGAAAAATAGTATGGAGGTTACTCAAAAAATTAAAAATAGAACTGCCATATGATCTAGCAGTTCTACTTCTGGGTATCTATCCAAAGGAAACAAAAATACTAATTCAGAAAGATACATGCATCCCCATGCTCATTTAAGGTTTATTTATAATAGCCAAGACATGGAGATGAACTGAGCATCCATCTATGAATGACTGGATAAACAAGTTGTACACATACACATGTACATACACACGTGCACAATGGAGTGAAAGTCAGTGATGGAAAAGAAGGAAATCCTGCCATTTGCAGTAACATGAAAGGATTTTGCAGGCATTATGCCACGTGAAATATGTCCGAGAAAGACAAATACCATATAATGTCATTTATATGTGAACTATTGGAAAACAACAACAAAACAGGCTCATAGATAGAGAACAGATCTGTGGTTGCCAGAGGCAGGAGCTAGGTGAAATGAGTGTAGGTTATTAAAATGTACAAGCTTTTAGTTATAAAATAGGTAAGTCCTGGTGATGTAATGTACAGTATGATGATTATAGTAAACAATACTGTATTATGTATTTGAAAGCTGCTAAGAGAGTAGATCTTGAAAGTTTTCATCACAAAAAAATATTTTTCGATGTGTAGTGTGAGATGAGGGAGGTTAACTAGAATGATTGTGACCATTTCACAGTATATACAAGTATCAAACAATTATGTTATACAGCTAAGACTAATATAATGTTATATGTCAATTGTATCCATTAAAAATGCAAAAAAAAGACCATTTACTTTTTCACTCTCCTATTGGACAGTCCTGTAGACTTTTAAAAAAGATCTACAATGTTAGATGACAAAAGAGTCTTTCTACTTTGATAATGAATGAAAGTATAGTCAACTTAAGATTTTTGTCAGCCTCACTCTAGCACTTTTGTCCTTCAGGCAGACAAGTCTATAAAGTATTTCAGATCTTGGAGAAAACCAAAGTGTTAGTGTTCCATCATCAGGCCTGAGTAACTGTAGTTATTTAAATGAACATTCCCAGAAATGATTACATAGGAATGTGAAAATGTAAGTGTAAGAACTCAGAGTTCTGTCCATTTCTGCTGCTGAGCTCTCTCTTCCTTGATGCCTATAGCAACAGCTCTATATTGGATCTGCTTCTGCTGTGGCCCAAGTCCGATTCCACCAGTGTGACATGTACGGAAGTGCCTGTGCAGACTGCTGCCTGGCTCGAGACCCTTACTGCGCCTGGGATGGCATCTCCTGCTCTCGGTATTACCCGACAGGCACACATGCAAAACGGTGAGACCGTTCTTCCCTGGGACCTTTCCCTTATTTTTTGTCACTTTCTGTACCCATTCCATGAAAACAACCTGTTTTTGTTTTTTTTTTTTTTTTAAGTGATTTTCCATTTATTCTAAAGTAACTTGGTTTTTTGTTTTTATATTGAGGTGTAGGTGATTTAACAATGTTGTGTTTGTTTTAGGTGTGCAGCAGCTTGATTCAGGTATCCATAGATATATCCCTTCTTTTCCAGATTCTTTTCCCATAGAGGCTATTACAGAGTATTGAGGAGAATTCCCTGTGCCATAGAGTAGGTCTTTGTTGATTATTTTATATACAGTGGTGTGTATATGTTAATCCCAAACTCCTAATCATCATAGTCTTAATTTGTTCGTAATATAAACTTTGAAAACTTCACTTTTTCTGAAAAATAACTTCCATTGACTATTGTGTAGAGACAGGCTGAACTTGCTTTCAGGGGTTTTATTTTTCCTCCATGTTTGAATCAACTCTTTTCCCTCCTGAAACTTTTGCTGCAAGACGTAAAACCAGTTTAGATAAACTTAAAATGTGGAAATAGCAAGTAAACCCACACATGAGGAATTCAAAGACTTAAAAGGAAAATAAATAAATTCTAAAATACATCCTGCATTTGCCCCATGTTCTCCTGACCAGCTGGTTTTCATTTATTACATTTTGAAAGTGAATATTTTAACTCCTAGGCAAATACATGACCTGTGTAATTAATGAAATGTGTGATTTAATTCAACACAAATGAAAGGTACTTAAAGACCTCCAAACTCTAATATCTGCAATTCAGTGGGGTCATTGCCACTAGTTAGAGAAGGTAAATCCTAGAATTCTTTGAACAGATCTTACAGTACAGAAAGTATTTTGAAGAATACGAATCTTTCTTACCTCAAGTCATAAGAAATTGTGCATTCTTTAGGGAAAAAATAAAGGAAACTATTTTTATTATAGAATAAGCAATTATCTTCTTCTCTTAATAAAGTGGCTAAAGATAATATGAAGCAAAGATATAGAACCATATACAGTTTCCCTGCTGAAAGCAACTTTAATTAATTTCATTTACTATTGCTCTTTCACTTTAGGCTACCTTTATACCTTTTTTCAAAATCTAATTTAATCCAATTTAATATAATTGTTATTTTTATAAATTCACATGAATACTAGAATCTCATTTGAAAAAATTAGTCACTAATTCAAACTTTTATTAATTTGACCTTACCTAAATTAACATTCCAATGAATAAATAAAGGATATATTAAGAAGATAGTAAAAAGATGCTTTGAGAGGACATTTATGAACTAGTGTATCAACTGTATTGAAGAACTGAGTGAGTCAGTTGATTTTCTACCCCATGTTTATTGATATTGAAAATCAATTATTGAAGAATACAGCTGTGTTACTAACTGAAAATATTATTTTATGCTTTATTCACTCATTCAGTCTATTTTTATACTATGTTTGAGGGGTAGGAGGAAACAATCCCAGTTCCCTGTGCATAGGAAAACAGAACCAGAAGTGAAGAATAGAATTGTAAATAAGGATGATAGCTCACCACTGAGCACTTACTATGTATAAGGCACCAGACTAAGTGCAATATACATAACACATTATTTGATTCTCAGAATAATTCAACATTTGAGTTCAATCTTGAAGGCAAGGATATAAGGAGATTCCAGTTAAAGAGAATTAATTGTTTCTACAGAGGCACAGAAAAATGCTCTGAGAAAACCATGTAGTTCAATAGGTTAGATTTGATGTAGTAGAATCTAAGGGCAGAAAGATAATTATACCAAAAAAAAAAAAAATAAACAACCCAAAGCCTTTAACAACAAAAAAAAAAATTAAAAACCCTGCAACAAACAACTAATAACAAGCTTTTTATTAGGCATGCAGCATTTATGATGAATTTAACTGAGAAGTTTCCATAGCTAAGTATTTCCTGGTATATGGTGCCTCTTGTAAAAGTGTATATTCATAGGTTTGTTTTATGGTGTTTTATAGGGTGGACAAAAGAGTTCTTTAGGGAAGTTAAATGAATGGGCAAAATCATAGACAGGAAGTAGTGAGATGGTAGAATCAGGAGCCATGCTCATGAATGAATTAGTTCAGTTCAATGACATGAAATGCAGATCTTTCATTAGTGTCAGATTCTTTAAAACCATCACCCACCCCTGGAGGAGAACATTTTGGATAAGTTCCAGCACATAAAGTTTGCTTTTATAGTAGATTGTTTTTGCTTCAGACCTGACTAGCAGTAGAAATTGAAAACTGGTCATTAAAATAAGTACACTTCTGTTCACAGAGTGAAAATGAGTCAACAGAGGAAAAACATCAGTTCACACTCCAAACCACTTGTTTAAAGTAGTCTTCCAAAGTACACTATAATTTATAAAACTAGGTCTTTTTCTCCCCCTTGCTCTTGTATTTTGTCTTGTTTCCAGCATTCTCTTGAAAAGTTTCCAAGAGGTAAGAGATATAAGAAAAATACGTGACTTTGAGAGCTTAGCCTTTCTAATATTCCTGATCCTAATACCTTCTTTTTTTAATGCTGAAATAAAGGACAGCTATACTAGGAGAGTATAAAATGAACTGAAGTCTTGTTGGAGAATGTGATATCTATATTTTTAAATGCATATTTCCAATGAGTTTATACAAAATTTTTGCACACTTACCCACAATGCTTACCTAGAATTAGCTGGTTGTAATTCCTTTTTTCCTTACATTACTTGCATAATAAATGTGATACAATATCCTTTCTGCAATGTGTAAACTATTTCCCACTTCATTAATTTATTCCTGTTTCATTACGCACTATTGCTCAGCAGACCTGAGATTCCCAATATCAAAGCAACATTCAAGTGAACTGAGGAATTAACAACAACCATTTGATTGTCATCCAGAGCTTCTATCAGTTACATAATAGAAGTACACACTAGCATAAAACAGTATAGGAGCATAAAACCTTTAAATTTTGCTCCTCTTTTGTCCATTTCTATTTTCGGTTTAGCTCTATAGAATGATTCATATGGCAGTTTTAATCTTAACTTCATAAAATCTCAGGTCTTTGAGTAAGGTTTTCTGATCAACAGTCTGATTCTTTTAAATAGACTTTAAAAATTGCTTTTGCACACAGACCACAAACTCTAAAAATTGACTGGAAATATTCATCTGTCCTAGCATTCAATATAAGGAAACACTCAAAAGATTGAGTTCTTAACTAAGTTCTGAACTCATTTATGAGAAAGTCCTCCATTTCTTGATAACATTCCAATATCACTATTTGGTGGCCATGAGGAAAACCTAGAATGAAAAAAAAAAAAAAAAAGAGAGAGACTGGAAATTAAGTGTCAGTTAGCCCAGCTTCCTTTACAAAAGAGGTTGCGCTGAAGCGGGAGAGACCAGGGATATGTTTAAGATCGTGCAGAATTTGAGTGGTGACATTGCAATTTGAACCTGGTCCCCTTGTCCAAATTTGACCATTGCATATGGTAAAAGCATCTCTTTGTCACTTGGGAAGTTTCACTATCTCCCTCTGGGATAAACGTTCTGTTCTGCCTTCTGGTTTCCCCTCAGTGTTGAAGAAATGCCATGATTAGAGAAGCAAGTGGTATTTTCTACCTTTGTGTAATATTTCTGTTTCCATCTCAAGCTTGAGTTAATATGCTGAAGACCTTAATTTTAGCATTCCAGTACTAATAAGGATAAATTCCATTATTAATTCCTAAGAATGATGCCTACAATTTGGCAACATGGTATATATTCTAGAGGACTTCCTTGGTGGTTCATTGGTAAAGAGTCTGCCTGACAGTGTGTAGGAGACATCTTCCCTAGGTTGGGAAGATCCCCTGAAGAAGGAAACGAATACTTCAGTGTTCTTGCCTGGGAAATCCCAGACAGAGGAGACCGTATGGCTACAGTCCATGGGGTTGCGAAGAGCTGGACACGACTTAGCAACTAAATAGCAACAAGAACAACATATATTCTGGAATTCTTTCTCCATGGATAAAGACTATTATTATTTGTCAATCATATGTCTAATCAACCAGAAAATATGAAAATATACTGGAACTATATTTACCTCTTAGAGGCAAATTAAGGAAAAATACAGTATTTCTTGAGGACCACTATTATGTAAGACATTCTGTTAAATATGTAATGCACCATCACATTTAATAGAGGCATATACTTTTTAAATATTATAACTGAATAAAAGAATAAATTGAGTATATTATCAGTTTATTAACAATCACATTGATCATGATTGCTGTAGAACAAAATATTTGGATCCAAATAGCTTTATATAATGCACTTAAATATATATGGGAATTTTATCCATTTTTTACTCAAATAGGTAATCTGCCTCAAGTCTGACTGTCTTTATCTGCACATAGCCTTTACCAACCAGGATACTCATTTAAAACCAGAAGACTTCCCTGTTGAACTAAATTCCTAATGAAATGTAAAGAGAACTTTTTTAGATTATTGTTTCAGGATCCATAATTCAAACTCATGTGACCATTTAAAAAACAGTTTTATAGATCTTTTCCATTGAATAATATTCAGTGGAAACATGGAAAACTATGAAACTTGGATTTTATCCTTGTTTTGTATGACTGATCAATTTTTTCAGTAGCAGAATACTACTTCAAACTTTAATGAGGTTGGCAATATTTTAAAGTCTGGAAAATTGAAATCTGAACATCTCCCAAATGCACTTACTTTCTTTCAGGCGGTTCCGCAGACAAGATGTTCGGCATGGGAATGCAGCTCAGCAGTGCCTTGGGCAGCAGTTTGTCGGTAATTCATAGAAAATCAATTGCCATGGGTATTTAGTGTGGGCATTGAAGATAAAATGCAAACCTCTTTCAAACGGTCCTTGTTTTATTTGTGATTGATATATACTAAAACAACGTTCCTGAGAGTATTCTGTATAGTTAAAATTTCATGGATTATACACTTTCTTAGTTTGGAAAAATGTTTATGTAGCCGGCAAGCGTTATTGTTAGACCCCAAAAAGGGGACACTTAGAACAGAAATGTTGTATACTTTAGGTGGCAGATGCCATAGTAATTTGCAGGATTTATCTTACCACCTCAACCCTGGGAATATCTTCACTGTGTTTTTATAACTTAATTTTATCAAGAGTGATCTGACTTGAATCAGGTTACCTAGTGAGCTTTGGATAGAAGAAAGTGAAGTACTTTGACTCTTTCACTAGAATAGAGTAAGCCCAGACCTGGGGTTGGTGGTCCAGACATGCGTTTCTGACAAAAGGTACTGGGTGGCCCAATGTGTAAAGAAAAAGAAAATGTCAGCTTTAGGCAAATGTAAGGAAGTCAAACAAGACAGAAAACCGCTGACCTGTCTCTCCACACTGTGACAGTAGTTGGTGAGCAGACTGTGCCCCTGATGATTGAGAGGCCAGGGCTGCTTATACACAGGTCCAGAGATTGTGGCCCAGGATCACTTTGCTAATCCCCAGTCTGGCTGGGGATTTGGTGCAAAATGTAAGCCTCTGAGAATATTGGCTAGAGAAAGGTGGGATTCTAACTTTAGAGAAACTCAGAGATCTGTTTTGAAAGCATGAAGGACCCAGATGTAGGAAAAAAGCCTGGAATCTAGTATTGAATGTGATCTTGGTTAAAACAACTAAAAATAAATCCACTTGCTTTGCTTCTCCACTGCAGTTAGGTATACATGCCTGTATGCATTTTGGGTTTCAGGTTCAAAGAGAGCCTTTCTCGGCCAAAATGCAGATTATAATCAAGTAGCTCTGGTTCACAAAGTCTTTGGTTCAGTTTCACATGTTTTTCTTCCCACAGTATCTGGATAGGTGCAATCCTATGTCAAGATATCACTCACACTTGTGTTTATATAGAGCCACATCTCCTAGATTTCGCTTTCTGTTTCTGTGTATAGACAAGAGTTTGAGTCCTATACGTGTTTGATTTTTGGTGCTCACCTTCTCTTACCTACTTATCAGTGGATGTTGTCACTAATTTCCTATTAATGTAACACTGACATACCTTCTAAATGTTCTGACCCATCTTTTGTAACCAAACCCCTAGATAGATCTTTCTCACTCCATAATCTGCTGTGCCTTTTTGTTGTCTAGATTTTAGTATGCCACTCTTTCTATATAACTCATGTATATGACCTTGTATAGATATTAGCAGTAAGCAATAAAACCTATTCACTTTGCTATAGGGATCTGAATAAGGAGTCATTTAAAAATATTATTTACCAGTAAAACGAAATTCTCAAGGCTGATGTTCACATTTATGTTACAGGGGATGCTTTGGATAAAACTGAAGAGAGATTGGCCTATGGCATAGAGAATAACAGTACTTTGCTGGAATGTACCCCACGATCTTTACAAGCAAAAGTTATCTGGTTTGTACAGAAAGGACGTGATGCAAGAAAAGAGGAGGTAATTCATAACTGCACATTCACACAATAGTGACTTGCATATAGTGCATGATTAGTAAATAGATTATTATTTATTTGAGTACTTAAAATTAAAGTCTATTGTACTGTACCTGCTTTTTTATTATGTGTGATTTAGATTCATATAAATATATATGTGTATCAGTATAGGTGTATATATATGTATGTGTATGTGCGTGTATGATAAGTTGCTTCAATCATGTCTGACTCTTTGCAACCCTATGGACTGTAGCCTACTAGGCTACTCTGTCCATGGGGATTCTCCAAGCAAGAATACTGGAGTGGGTTGCCATTTCCTTCTCCAGGGGATCTTCCTGACCCAGGGATCGAACCCAATTTCCCTTACGTCTATCTGCATTGACAGGTGGGTTCTTTACTACTAGCGCCACCTGGAAAGCCCATAATGTATGTATATAAAGGTTCTAAACTACATATACATGTAGATTTTTATATACATCTGTATTTATATACATATAAAAACAAATGTTATATATATGTATATATAAAATTTGGAACCTAGACTTAGATTTTTTACTGAGGAAATGCTCATTGTGTCATGATTTTAGTGTCATTCTGTCAAAATGATGTCTCAAACTGTATTGCCCAAGGAACTACTTTAGAAAAATAGCAAAGTTAAATACCATTATTACATATACCTTAGACATATGGATAAGAGAATGAAGACAACAGCAGCAACATTAAAGCAGTTGATTATTAAGTCACACATAAGACATCTACTGTGAGGTTCCAATGTTGTCTACTGGGAACAACAACAAAAAAGATGTAAGTTCTTTCGTCCTTCTAAGCAGGTTTGGTAGTGGAAATTATATTTATTATAGGTATCTAGATATTGAGAAATGAATGAATTGGACTGCTTTTATAGATGAAAGAATTGTTGTTCAGACGCTCAGTCATGTCCAACTCTTTGTGGCCCCATGGATTGCAGCATGGCAGGCCTCCCTGTCCCTCACCATATCCTGGAGCTTGCTCAAACTCATGTCCATTGAGTCAGTAATGCCATCTGACCATCTCATCCTCTGTTGTCCCGTTCTCCTTCTGTCTTCAGTCTTTCCCAGCAACAGGGTCTTTTCTAATGAGACAGATGTTGGCATCAGGTGGCCAAGGTATTGGCATTTCAGCTATAGTGTCAGTCCTTTCAATGAATATTCAGGATTGATTTCCATTAGGATTGACTGATCTCCTTACTATCCAAGGGACTCTCAAGAGTCCCTTCAAAAGCATCAATTCTTTGGCACTCAGCCTTCTCTTACATCCATACATGACTAACGGAAAAACCATAGCTTTGACTAGTTGGACCTTTGTTCGCAAAATAATGTTTCTGCTTTTTAATATTCTGTCTAGGTTTGTCAAAGCTTTTCTTTGAAGGAGCAAGCATCTTTTAATTTCATGGCTGCAGTCACCATCTGCAGTGATTTTGGAGCCCAAGAAAATAAAATCTGTCACTGTTTCCATTGTTTCCGAATCTATTTGTCATGAAGTGATTGGACTGGATGCCATGATCTTAGTTTCTGAATGTTGAGTTTAAACCAGCTTTTTCACTCTCCTCTTTCACATTCATCAAGAGGCTCTTTAGTTCCTCTTTGTTTTCTGCCATAAGGGTGATGTCATCTGCATATCTGAGGTTATTGGTATTTCTCCCAGCAATCTTGATTCTAGCTTGTGCTTCATCCAACCCACCATTTTGCATGATATACTGTGCATATAGTTAAATAAGCAGGGTGACACTATACAGCCTTAATGTACTCCTTTCCCAAATTTGAACCAATCTGTTGCTCCATGTCCGGTTCTAACTGCTGCTTCTTAACCTGCATATAGATTTCTCAAGAGGCAGGTCAGGTGGTCTGTTATTCCCATCTCTTGAAGAATTTTCCAGAGTTTGTTGTGATCCACACAGCCAAAGGCTTTAGCATAGTCAATGAAACAGAAATAGATGTATTTCTGGAATTCTTTTGCTTTTCCGATAATACAGTGAATGTCAGCTCTGCCTTTTCTAAATCCAGCTTGAACATCTAGAAATTCTCGGTTCATCTACTGTTAAAGCCTGGCTTGGAGAATTTTAAGCATTACTTTGCTAACATGTGAGATGAGTGCAATTGTGCTGTAGTTTGAATTTTTTTTGGCATTGCCTTTCTTTGGGATTGGAATGAAAACTGACCTTTTCCAGTCCTTTGGCCACTGCTGAGTTTTCCAAATTTTCTGGCATATTGAATGAAGCACTTTCACAGCATCATCTTTTAGGATTTGAAATAGCTCAGCTATTTCAGAAATAGCTCAGCTGTTTCAAAATTCCATCACCTCCACTAGCTTCTTTCATGGTGATGCTTCCTAAGACCCACTTGACTTCACACTCCAGGATATCTGGCTCTAGGTGAGTGATCTCACCCTCATGGTTATCTGGGTCATTAAGATCTTTTTTGTGTAGTTCTTCTGTGTATTCTTGCCACCTCTTCTTAATATCGTCTGCTTGTTAGGTCCAGACCATTTCTGTCCTTTATTGTGCCCATCTTTGCATGAAATGTTCCCTTGGTGTCTCTAATTTTCTTGAAGAGATTTCTAGTCTTTCCCATTCTATTGTTTTCCTCTATTTCTTTTCACTGATAACTTAGAAAGGCTTTCTTATCTCTCTGCTATTCTTTGGAACTCTGCATTCAGATGGATATGTCTTTCCTTATCTCCTTTGCCTTTCACTTTTCTTCTTTTCTCAGCTGTTTGTAATGGAAGATTAGGTAGCATTTAAAACACACATACAGAACAGCCTGGAAGCAGTCGCTGGACAGATGAATGTAGGTCTAGGTTGCTGGCTGTATGTAGGAGAGGTCTAGCTAGGGTGTGAAGCAGATAAATGTTAGGGAAGACAGATAAACATTGTTTATGTTGATGTGGGCTTTGAACTCAATTTTAACAACAACAAAATGGTACAAAGCAGAAAATAGAAGAAAATTTGGTTATATTAAAGGGAGAGAGAGGTGGGAGGGGGGACCGGGATGGGGAATACATGTAAATCCATGACTGATTCACTTCAATGTATGACAAAAACCACTGCAATGATGTAAAGTAATTAGCCTCCAACTAATAAAAATAAATGGAAAAAAAAATAAAGGGAGATAGATCTTGGTGAATATTGAAGAAATGGTCCTTAGTAAAGATATTACAAGTTAAATTGGGTTAAGAAATTTTAGAGACCTGCCTTAGGACACAGAGGACAGCTGATAGGTACTCAGCAGATAGTGAATCCAGAAGTTTCCACCTCATTTGATAGTGAAAACCAAACATTTGTCATTGGAAGTCTAAATGACTGGTTCTATGTGTAGAGCACAAAGACATTTTTTTGCCTCTTTCCCCTGTAGCCTGTTGTGAAACTTAAAAATGTTTTTTGTTGAGAATCAGCAGTACATTCTGGAAAATGACTAAATGTGTAAATCCTAGGTTTCTGGGCTAGCTATTAGAGAAGAAGGAGCTTCAACTTAACATAGGCTACTTAAGAGATAACATAGAAAGGCAATCAGGAGAGGAGAATTCTCCTAAATTTTTCATGACATCGTGAGAATAAACATGTTTTCAAAAATGATACAGTCTATTGCACTGGAATAAATTATTAATGTAGTGCTAAAGTGTTTTCCATACCAGACCACCTGACCTGCCTCTTGAGAAACCTGTATGCAGGTCAGGAAGCAACAGTTAGAACTGGACATGGAACAACAGACTGGTTCCAAATAGGAAAAGGAGTACGTCAAGGCTGTATATTGTCACCCTGCTTATTTAACTTATATGCAGAGTACATCATGAGAAATGCTGGGCTGGAAGAAGCACAAGCTGGAATCAAGATTGCCGGGAGAAATATCAATAACCTCAGATATGCAGATGACACCACCCTTATGGCAGAAAGTGAAGAAGAACTAAAGAGCCTCTTGATGAAAGTGAAAGAGGAGAGTGAAAAAGTTGGCTTAAAGCTCAACATTCAGAAAACTAAGATCATGGCATCTGGTCCCATCACTTCATGGGAAATAGATGGGGAAACAGTGGAAACAGTGTCAGACTTTATTTTTGGGGGCTCCAAAATCACTGCAGATGGTGATTGCAGCCATGAAATTAAAAGACGCTTACTCCTTGGAAGGAAAGTTATGACCAACCTAGACAGCATATTAAAAAGCAGAGACATTACTTTGCCAACAAAGGTCCGTCTAGTCAAGGCTATGGTTTTTCCAGTGGTCATGTATGGATGTGAGAGTTGGACTATAAAGAAAGCTGAGCGCCGAAGAATTGATGCTTTTGAACTGTGGTATTGGAGAAGACTCTTGAGAGTCCCTTGGACTGCAAGGAGATCCAACCAGTCCATCCTAAAGGAGATCAGTCCTGGGTGTTCATTGGAAGGACTGATGCTGAAGCTGAAACTCCAATACTTTGGCCACCTCATGTGAAGAGTTGACTCATTGGAAAAGACCCTGCTGCTGGGAGGGATTGGGGGCAGGAGGAGAAGGGGATGACAGAGGATGAGATGGCTGGAAGGCATCACCGACTCGATGGGCATGAATTTGAGTAAACTCCGGGAGTTGGTGATGGACAGGGAGGCCTGGTGTGCTGCGATTCATGGGGTCACGAAGAGTCGGACACAACTGAGCGCTGAACTGAACTGAACTGAACTGAACTAAACTGAAAGTGTTTTCCATTCCGTGTATCTGTGATAAAACTGGCTTTTGAGTTTTGTCATAACTCACTTGGCAGGAGAGGGTCTGGGAGTATTCTATTGTTCCTCCAGTTGAATGACTTCAGAAGACAGGAAAGTAATTCTTTCAGCAGTAGTTTTCTTCACTCAGTATGTTCTGTTTCTAATTTCAAACTCACTGTAATCTACCTCATTTGGAAATCTTTACCAAGTCGTTTTGACATGCTGTACCCAGCAGTGTTCAATTTTAAGTTTCTTTCTCAGACTGTTAATATAATGTACTTCTTTCCCCAAAATTT